GTTTAATTAAAAGTGTTATATATCAGTATCACTTATAATATTATTAAAATATTAAAATTATGTATAGTGTTTACAGTAATGTACACTGTTATTCACTGAAAGTCTATCTCATCTTAAAGTTTCTCACGTCTGTCTTTCTTTAACAACCATTCCGACCCGGATAATAAGCTCTGAGCGCATGTGCTAAAATAAGCCCTCCCCCGAAAATATTGCAACACAGCAGCAGCCATGAGGTGACCACGCTTGCCGCCTCCTGCACCTCAAAAATAATAAGATCTCCCTGAAAATAAGGCCAAATGTTTATTTCAGGGGTCAAAAGAAAATAAGACCCTGTCTTATTTTCGGAGAAACACGGTATGTATTTAAAATGGCTGCAGTGTCCCAGCGTCAGAGGAAATTTTGCAACTTTCTGACAAGCAAAGTTTATGGGGGAGCCAGATCCTCTTAACAACCGTGTTCCTAACTTAACAACTGCAGTGATTCACTTAACACCTGTAGCAAGAAATGTCTTAAAAAGGAGCAATTGCCTTGTTTGGCAATGGAAATTTTGGACTCAATTGTGGTTATAATTCAAGGACTGCCTGTAACACATTTCCTTAAAATGTACAAGCTTTCATGCTACCAGATACTTTCTGATTTGGGCCTATCAACCCCAGCACAGCCACCGCACCTCAACACCCTCACCTGTTTATTCTGCTTGGAAATCTTCAGCGCAGAAAAAGCGACAGAACAGGCGGCGGGAGCTATTTCCATGTCAGCATAGCTAATCCATTGCCGCACCAAAGCTCTTGTTTCGGGATTGTGCCCTCTCATAACATCTGGAGACAGCAGGTAAGACACAGCTGTAGGACCAGACACATAGACCCCAGTTCTGGTTTCCAGAGCTGGGAGTTTGGGCAGAGAGAAAAAACGGTTCTTGAATTCGGCATTGGGAGGCAGTTCAACCACCGTGAGCTCCTGCCGGCCATAACGGGCTGCGACCAACACACGGATGTTCTGGAAATTATCCGGATGGGGGCAGATGTAGAGGGTAGGCATGATGAGAAGACAGAGAGACCTGGAAATCAAGAACAAGAAGGAAGGTGAAGGCAAACAGCCTGCTAACACAATGCATCTCTACAACAATGGTTTGGTAATGAACTTTGAAGAGTTGGAAAAGAAATGGCATTTCTAATTGCCCTAAGGTGAGATGGACAGCAAACAGAAGGAAGGGAGGGAGGGAGGAGAAAGGAGAGGGAGAAGGAAGGAGAGGGCAGAGCAGAGCAGGAGCGGGTAAGGAGGGAGGGAGGGAGGGAGGAAAGAAGGAAGGAAAGAGAGGACAAAGCAGAGCAGGAGGGGGGTAAGNCTGAACGCACTCGCTCTCCCAACGGGGAGCTTACCTAACAGACACAAAGCAAAAGCGTTTGAGTCTTACTTTTTTTTTGCGGATGCAGGCCTATTTAATTCTGTTCTCCTTCTATCTACATCACCTACCTCTCCCTGTTGCTGCAGGTTCTTTTCCTTCTTCTGAAGAAACTTCTCCAGTTTTTCTTTCTTTTTGGCCTCCTTCTTCAGCTGCGACGCGCTTTTGGGAGGGGGCTCTTCTATCTCCTCTTTCTCCGGCAACTCAGCTTCAGAGGAAACCGGTTGGTTTGCAGGGCAGGAGGAGGAAAAATACAAATGAATGAACTCACAGCTTCCCACTATTCAGTCACTCTAAGGCAGGCGACATGGCAAAAGTCCACTGTGACCTACAAAACCTGGTTTGTCTTCAGCAAGGTGCCGTTGTATAGGGTTTCCTGCTTGGGCAGGGGGTTGGACTAGAAGGACCTCCAAGGTCCCTTCCAACTCTGCCATAAAGTTATTCCCCGCACTGTATGAAGACAGTGGGAACTGGGTACATAGATCTTCCATGCTTGGGTACAGGGATGAAATGCTACCGGTTTGGACCAGTTCACTCCAACCGCTTGTAAAAGAAAAGCTACCGGTATTTCTGATGATCAGCTGTGACATGTGATTTATATTACTGTATTTTTCGAAGTATAAGACACACCAAGATTTTGAAGAGGTAATTTTTTTTAAAAAAAGTTTTTGCACTCTGCAGGCCTCCCAAACCCTCTGCATGCCTTGTTTTTGTGAAAAACGGGGCATGCAGAGCGTTTGAAAGGCCTGCAAAGTTCTCCTGGGGGCTGGGGTGGGGGCAAAAAGGAGCAAAAAAAGGGGGGCCGTTTTCCGCTCATTTTTGCCCTCGCCAGTCCCCAGGAGCACCCTCTGCACGTCCATTTTTGTGAAGGGGGGACAAAAATGCTGTATTCAGTGTATAAGACACACCCAGATTTTCACCCTTTTTTGGAGGGAAAAGGTTTGTCTTATACTCCAATAAATATGGTAGCTAGAAAGCAGGATTTCCTGCTTTCTAGATAATCTAAATCGTGTGGCACAGCGGATCCCCTCCCCCATCACTGTTCTACTTACCTTTACAGGTGCACTCGGTAGCAGGCTCCACCCACCTACCTGGACGTCATCACATCTGTTTTCGACGCTCTGCGCATGTGCGGAGATGGCGCATGCACTCACATTTGTGAACCGGTAGCAAAGGTAAGTAGATTTCACCCCTGCTTGGGTACAATTATTTGTATGATGTAGGGCATTCTCATTCAGCGTCCACAATTGGGACAGGCAACCTGGCCATTAGATGAAATGGTTGCTAAATGAAACTGCTTCATTTATGCTGGAGCCTGACCTGCGCCAATTAAGGAGGATTTGAAAAGAGGCCATCCACAGGAAAGGCTTACCTTTAAAGTCCATTTCTAGAACACCACCTCCTGGGGCCTCTTCATACAACCTCACTGTGCCCAGAACAGCCTGGAATTCTGGTTGGTTGACACACGTCAGGAACCATCGAGTCAGGTTGATAAAATAAGTGCGAAGGGTTTGGTTGAGAACCTAGAAGAGAAGGAAGTTAATTATGCATGCTATTTTATTTTTTCCACTGGTTAGCTGCCGTAATTATCCAAGGGACTCTAATGTAATATATAGGTAGTCCTCGGCTTATGACCAGTTGCTTAACGACTGTTCGAAAACTGAAGGGAATATGGATTCTACAAATTTGGAATTAACAGAATCTATGAGTGATGAAGTGGATTTTCTCAAGAGGATTGATGGCGTTTGAGGAATGGACTTTGCAGATCTAACTGCAAATCAATTTGGACTGGACTTTTTGGGGAAAAGAGATTGACAAAAGAGGTTTATAATTTTGGGGAACAAAACATAATTGCTAGGAAAGTTTTCAACCAAAGTCTTAGGGAGACGTTTTATGATTAAGAATCAAACAAGAATATTTGATCCCGGACAGATCAGAGAAAATAATTGTGGTGATTTATGGTAAATAAAAAGTCGCAATAGACTTTCTGAGAAATACAATAATAGATTGTTAGGGTTTAAAGTTTAACTTTGCTGTTAGTTCACCTGTTAAATATTTTGCCTTTGTATATAGCAGATAGATGACAGGTCAAATTGGTTACAAATAGAAGTTTATAAATTTGGGTTTGCTTCGTAAAGGGGGGGAAATTAATATTGTTCTAATATTGCAATAGTGGTGAATATTTGTAGCTTGAGTGTAGGATAAGGATGAAGGTTCGTTCTCCGAGCTTGTGGGTTCGTTTCCGAATGTTTCGTTACCAGGCTAGGTAACAAATCGTTCGGCAACCAACCCACAAGCTCGGAGAACAAACCTTCACCCTCATTGTTCCAAGATGTTTATCAGTATTAAGATAAGAGCGATAGACAATATATTGTGTAGGAACCATGGTGGCGCAGTGGTTAAAACGCAGCACTGCAGATAAACTCTCCTGAGTGCCAAGAGTTTGTTCCTGGCCAGCTCAAAGTTGACTCAGCCTTCCATCCTTCTGAGGTGACTAAAATGAGGGCCCAAATTGTTGAGGGAAATATCCTGATTCTGTAAACTCCTTAGAGAGTTCAGTTAAGCATTATGAAGTGGTCTATAAGTCTAAGTGCTATTGCTATATGTACGTATATGTGGTTTTGTCCTTTGCCTTTTTCAACGCACATTTTTTCTCCCTTTTCTAATATTTTATCTTCAAAGCATTCAGCCTTCATCCTGCAGTGGATAGACAAAGCCTAGAAAGATAAAATTGTTTTGTCTATCTTTGTTTTTGTTTTTGTAAAACTTATTTTTCCTTTATTTTGAGTTTGCATTTGACCTTAACTTCCCGAATAAAAGAAAAATGTATTCAAAAAAGAAGAAAAAAGAAGAAAGAATGACAGGATTGAGAAGAAATTGTCTAAGAAAACCACGGCTGAATAAATTAGGTTGTAAAAGAGAAACATAAGAAAGAAAGAAAGAAAGAAAGAAAGAAAGAAAGAAAGAAAGAAAGAAAGAAAGAAAGAAAGAAAGAAAGAAAGAAAGAAAGAAAAAACCAATGTATAAAGTGAGCTGGAATCAAGAGCTGATTGCCAAGGACAGAAAGATACGGCGTTGGCATAAACTAAATTTTGTTAAAAGGTGGAAAGCGAAAAAGTTGCCCACTATTGTGCAAATGACCTTACTACAGATGTTGATCTTTCTTCCCTTCGTGGAAAAAAAGAGGTCAATTTACATAAGGGTAACAAAATGTGCTGCCAAATTAACAAAAGAAAAAGAGAGAGAGAAATAACAATGACGCAGGAAAACTCACATATTTATACGGCAACAAAAGACAACAAGCAGCGGTCACATCAGCCAGAGTTATGGTTTCCCCCACCAGGTATGTCCGAAGCTTCAGGTGACTGTCCAGCACCCCAAGGAGATGCTGCAGTTCGGCTACAGCACGATCCAGCCCCTGTGGGGAAGAGGGGAGTAAGGTGTGAACTCAAAGCAGCTCCCAAGCGATTCCCCAAAAGGATTTAAAATACATTTTTCTAAAATACATTTATATACAGTATATATAAATGGTGGAAAAAATGAGGACCCAGATTGTTGGGGGCAGTAGGCTGACTCTATAAACTGCTTAGAGAGGGGTGTAAATCACTATGAAGCGGAATATAAGTCTAAGGGCAACTGCTATGGCTATTACTGCCTCCGAGAAACGAGAGCGGTTCCTTCACTCATCCTCCCAGGCACACAACTTTGTTTTAAGGTGTAATGTAGTACAGGTGGTCCTCAATTTACAACCACGATGGAGCTAAAATTTCTATGGCTAAGCAAGAGAGTTGTTAAGTGAGTTTTGCCCCATTCTACGATCTTTCTCGCCAGAGTTATTAAATGAATCACTACAGTTGTTAAGTTAGTAACACAGTTGTGAAGTGAATCTGACTTACCCACTGACTTTGCTTGTCCGAAGGTCGCAAAAGGGGATCACATCACACACACACACACACACACACACAAACACACACACATACAGAGGACACAAAAATCATCATAAATAAGAGGCAGCTGCCAAGCATCTTTTATTCTTGATAAATCTTGCTAAAGAGAATTTCGGGAGAACCCTTATTTTCTTCAGATACTAACAAATGCCAAAGAGCAGCAGTTCTCAACCTGTGGGTTGCGACCCCTTTGGGGGTTGAGCAACCCTTTCACAGGGGTTGCCTAATACCATCCACCTCCACCAGTGTCGCTCATGCTCAGGAGCGCGTCCTGAAGCAGCAGGTGTATGCCTCCTCCAGGCTCTGGGCGCAACCCAGACGCTGCCCTGCCCGGTCTCCATGCCAGGGAAAGGCCGAGGCGCTTAAGGGGGAGAGAGACAGGTTCTTCTGGATGGCGGATCAGCCTTGGCTCTGACGGATGTCCGAAACGAGTGCGGTCGGCAGTGCCGCTTCAGCACAGTTGCCTGCACAGGGGCTCGAAGGCACCCGGAAAGCAGGAGATCGGCAGGGCAGTTGGGCCACCCATTTCAGCCGGCGGGATGGGCTCTCGCCAGGCAGGCGCATCCCAGGATTCAAGCCGCCTTGGGCCTGGACGCTGCCTTTGTCACGCCCGCCGCCAGTCCTGCCCTGTGGACTAAACTGAGCTCGGAGGCTTTTTGGCCCCCGGGAAGGGCTGGCAGGAGAGGCTGGAGGGGAGAACAGGCCCTGCTCACCCATTCCTTCCGTCCTGAGGAATTCCACTCGGGACAGAAGCACAGTTTGATGTAGCTTAAGCCTCTGTTTAAAATCCCATTTAAAGGGCAACTTCTTGATCTGTGTTAAATAGATTGCTTGCACAAATTAACTGCTACACGCTCCCATGCCTGGTTGTAACGATTCAAAAGAAAAAAAGAAAGAAAGAAAGAAAGGGGAGGGAGAAAAGAAAGAAAAAGAAAGAAAAGGGAGGGAAGAATGGAAGGAAAGAAAAAGAAAGAAAGGAAGAGAAAGAAAAGGGAGGGAAGAATGGAAGGAAAGAAAGAGAAAGAAAGAGAAAGAAAGGGGAGGGAGGAATGGAAGGAAAGAAAGAAAAAGAAAGGGAGGGAGGAATGGAAGGAAAGAAAGAGAAAGAAAAAGAAAGAAAGAAAAGGGAGGGAGGAATGGAAGGAAAGAAAGAGAAAGAAAGAGAAAGAAAGGGGAGGGAGGAATGGAAGGAAAGAAAGAAAAAGAAAGGGAGGGAGGAATGGAAGGAAAGAAAGAAAGAAAAAGAAAGAAAGAAAAGGGAGGGAGGAATGGAAAGAAAGTAAGGAAGAAGAAAAGGGAGGAATGGAAAGAAAGAAAGAAAGAAAGAAAGGGAGGGAGGAATGGAAAGAAAGAAAGAAAGAAAGAAAGG